CATTATCAAAGAATTTTTACAGTGACAGTCTAGTTCAAGCACTCTCAAAAACTCCCATTAAAATCACTGAAGCGGTTTACACTGTGAAATATCTTATTTACAGATTCATACACATCTGCAGTTTGTTGTTTCTAACGAAAGAATTCGCCAGAAAGAGGTATTCAGTCAGCCAGCCAGTGAAGAAAACACCGGCATTTTATCGATGACTCATCTGAACGCCTCTGATTGGTCATTGCATTCATAAGCTTAACAGCATCGTGTGTGATTGGTTATAATGCACAGTGCTGTAAAAACGCGTCGACGCGTCTGTCTCTGGCTTAGTGCCAGCCAGTGAACACAGATTTGAATTTAGCAGCTGATGATGATATGACGTGCTGAAAGATTTAATCATGCTGGTGTGATTGTATCAAATATAGAAAATATTATTCGGCTATTTTTTGTCTTTTGGAAGCTGCATTCAAAATCCACTTGGCTCAAAAATCTGAGGAGGCACGTGCCCCCTCACTTTGAATGGGCATGATGCCTCTGATGTCAGTAACAAAATCACACAAACTAAAGTAGATTGCAGAAATTTAGATCAGTGGTTCTCAAACTTTTTTGGTCGCACCCCCCTTTAAACCTATAAAAAAAAATCTGCCCCCCTTTCCCGAATCCCCATTCCACCTGAGACTACCACATAATTTCACTAAACATTATGAAAAATTAATGTTTTTTTAATTTAAAAAGCCTACAGGGAAAAAACACCTACATCACTTGAAACATTGAAAAATAGCATAGAGAGAATAACTTACCATTATTCTCTCTCTTTTATTTATTTATTTTTTGTGGGTTTCATGCTGTCCGCTAAGGCATAGGACACACACACAGGCTTTCCTCACCAACGACATTAAACACTGTGTCTACACCGGACGCGAGCGGCAAAATACAGTAGAACCCATTATAATCAGTGATGCTGTGTACACTGGATGCAACGTGACAAACTGATGCCTTGTTCTATTTATGACGTACTGACACAAAAGTTAAAATGATTTGCAACGGTCACTTTGTCACGTCCAGTGTACAGTAGAGCTGTTGCGGCACGGCGTCCGGTATAGACACGGTGAGTGAAGCCGAGAGCAAGATATGCCTCGTCATATTTTCTGCATTTAGCTTTTAAACGACCAGCACCTGCCTGGGTCTGTGCGACTTCATCTATGGCTTTTCTCTTCCCTTTCACAAACCAAGCCATCTCCCACTCTAAGTTACCTTTGGCTGTTTACTGTCGATCACACCTCTTTACTCTCACGTGTCACGTGTAATCGCAGCCTCTGCGATTGAAAAATCGCGTTTTCTCATATAGCGATATTATCGCAAATGCAATTAATCGTTCAGCCCTAATA